CCAGGGAGCCGGGACCGGCCACTCGCCGTGCTCCCAGCGGGCGAGTTTTGGTGAGGGCCGCGGGTCGCCGTGTCCTCCCCCTCCCCTGCGGGAGCACACTAGCACCCTCCCCCGGGCACCGTCCGCTGCCACGCTGAGGGCTGCGGTCTGTCCCTGCTGCCCCCCGGGACGGAGAAGCACCCCCCAGCCCGTGGGGGGGTCGCTGGGGCGGGCAGCTCCCTGCATCTGCTCTGCTCTGCTCTAGGCTTGCTTGTCGAGGCCAAGGGAGAAGATGCCGTTGCCACGCGCTGCCAAGATGCTGAGCACCAAACAGCCCCGCGCAGGCAGCGTGGGCGCTGCCATGGAGAACGCTAACCCAGAGAAGGTGAGTCCCAAGTTGGGCGAGGGGTGAGGGGGCGTCCTGCGGGGCAGCTGGACCCCCCCTCCTAACAGCCTCTGTTGCAGGAGGAGAGCTCTCAGGCCAAGCGGTCTCCATCCTCACCCCAGGGAGGGCCCAAGAAGAGGTCGGCGTTTGGGGACATCACCAATGTGAGTGTTTCTGTGTAGGTGGGGGCTTTGGTGCCCCCTGTGCACCTCTATGGGAGAGGGACTGGGTATCCCCCCCAGCAGGCAGAGTTGGGGGGTGTCCTGTGCCCTAGCAGCAGGGGGAGAGGTCTCCCTGTGGGGCACACCTCTCTTCCCTCCATGCATGCCTCTGTAAACCCCTGTTCTCCCCCAAACAGGCTCACAAGAACCAGGTGGTGGCAGGGAAGAAGGAGGCTGTGAAAGTGGCACCACACAAAGCACAGAAAGCCCATGCTGGCCTGGAGGTGGCCAAGAACAATGAGATCAACCTGAAAAAGTGAGTAGCCAGGGGAGATGGGGACAGGGACTAGCGCAGGGGGGATATTGCAAGCCCAAACCTGTCCCATGGGGAAAAACAAGCGGTGGTAGGGGCTTCCTTTGGACAATGGAGACCATGAACCAGGTGGGGAGGGCAGCCAGTAGATAAAACAGCCTCAAGTTGTACTGGGGGAGGGGGGTTAAATTACACATTAGGAAGAACTTCTTCACCAAAAGGGTTGTCAAGCACTGGAATAGGCTCCCCAGGGAAGTGGTGGAGTCGCCATCCCTGCAGGTATTTAAGACATGTAGATGTAGCACTTAGGGACATGGTTTAGTGGTGGACTTGGAAGTGTCAGGTTTACAGTTGGACTCAATGATCTTAAAGGTCTTCTCCAGCCTAAACGATTCTGAGTCTCTGTGGGGATGTTTTCAGGGTGGTTTAGCCCCTTCCTGAAGCCACAAGGGGCCCTGGAGAACCCTTTTCAGCTGGGAGATGTGGCCTCCTCCCAGCAATGATTTACAGTCTTGTCGTGTCCAGGTCAATGAAGAAAACTCCCCCTACAGAGGCTCCTGCAAAGTCCAAGGAGGATCGTGTGCCAGAGAAGCCGGTGCCTGCGCAGGTACTGAAACCCTCCGAAGAGAGGGCAGGGGCCCTGGTCTGCAGCCTGGCCCCCAGTCTCGTCCTGATGGTGCTGGTCTGTGGCTGCCACTGGTTATACTGGGGCAGCAGGCAGTGCTTTGGACCTCGGAGATACTCGGATCAGTGTGATGGGAAGCTGGGGATGGGGGGGAAACCCCCCCACCTTCTTCCTGCAA